ATGCTAACAGTCCATTATCTGCATGCAGCAGTATTACTGCTTCTACAGCTGCCTGCAAACACAGTGGCCTCCGATGCTCTGGTGTGTATAATGATCTTTGTGTCAGCAGTTTCTGAATTATTCTTTGCTCCTTCAGCCTAATTTTAAAATAAAGGCTTTGAAACTGAATTGAAATTGAAACAAACTGAGACTAGTTTGTATTTCAGAAAAATGTTGAGATAAAAATAATGCTGCGTTCAAACTTTGACATGCTCGCCTTCAAAGGTTACTTTTAGTGCAATAAAGGTTAGAATGTTAACATCACCTCCATTAATGATATTTGTTCTACTCAGTTTTACTCTTTTCTTTTCTGCTTGTTGTCCATGTCACCAGTACGGCTCTGCCACACAGTCTGACTCACTTAATGTCTGGAATCAGCTGGAAACAGCTGGCCTGTGCAGTCTGATGGTTATAGAAATATCGCTGCCATCAGTTGTCATCTCTTTGTTATCGCTCTATAAAATCATTTTATTTACACAGCAGTCAGAAGGGTAGCTAAACTTCAAAAGTGTAAAACTTTAAGTTGATGCAGGATCATAATGTCATTTCTGTGTGCAGAGTGTGTTATTTATATCATTCAGATCCTGTTGGTTACATCATGTTTTGTGAACTTTTTATTTCTCTTGTCTGTCTCAGAATGGAGGACGATGGTACCTGACAAAAAGGCCTGTAGTGGAACAGTGTTGGTTCACTGGAGACAGGGACTCAGTGCTGTTTCCAGAGAAAACTTCAATGAAACTGAGAAGGAAAAGCTTTGCCAGGATATGGACTGTGGTGGATACCAATCAACAAATGAAATCCACCCCCAAACAATTGAAATAGATTCTTTTTGGAACAAAAGCTTCAGCTGTGGTGAAAATCCAGGAAGCATTTGGGAATGTGAAAATAAATCCACACCCTCAAGGAAGGAGCCCGTCTTTATTGAATGCAAAAGTAAGATTTATATCAGCAGGACTGATCTTAAATGATCACAGACTTTTTATATTTGCACTGGAAACACTGAAGAGTGAAACAAGACACTTGGAGTGTGAAGGAGAATTATTCCAGATACACTGGATAAAGTAACAAACCAAAGCTAAAAGTCTTAAATGAACTATTTGATTATGGACTTGTGCTTCATATTTTGACTTTGCAGTGCAGAGAAGATTAACTGATCACTTCTACCTCAGTGCTTTATGTCTTTATCAATACTTGACTGCAGTGTTTATTGCTTTCCTTCCCAGAGGAGCCCAGTGTCAGCCTTTCACAGGGCTGTCGTGGGGAAGTGAGGATAGATGGCGTTCCAGTGTGTGCTAGTAACTGGGATCTATCCTACGCACACAAAGTTTGCCAAGAAAATCTTTGTGGCAATGCTGTCTTCATTGAATCCAAAGCTCCATCAAAGGCTTCAGGTAACATTTACCATGTCAGCTGTGAAAAGTACCATTCCATCATTGGCCAGTGCAGGAGGACTAAAGGAAAGTGTGACACAAATGTGGTGTTCATTACTTGTAGTGGTAAGTGTAAGTCCATACACCTCTCTTTCCATAAACTCATCCCTATATACAGTACATACATGAATGTCCTCTCTTAATTATGGTAGTATTTTAATTCATTATCTTTGAGTAATTTTTCTTTCTTTCTTTTTACAAAAGGCAAGTTGTTTTCTTTTTTAAAATAAAAGTGACATTTTCAAGTTGTTTATGCCATCGTTAAGGAACTTATTCCAGTTTCTGTAACAATGACCATTTGGCTGGTTCATTAGAAAAGTCACCTCAGAAATTTTGTTCATTTTATAATTTAAACACATTATGAACGCAAGCAGACCATCTCTAACATCATATTTGCCAGACAGAAGTGGATGAGCTTGTTTCCTTCTTTAAACACAGTTTCTTTGCTTTTACAGAAAGTGTAAAGTTCCACACCGCTGAAAAACATGGAGGTGTCCTTTATGTCAATTATCGAGATAAGTGGGAAAGAGTATGTCCATTTAGGGCGGAAGAGAAAGAGTATGTCCAAAACTTAACGGCAAAGCTCTGTGAAGAAATTAATAATGAGACCCATAGCGGCTCTACGGAAGACAAACAGGTAAATCTTTACATTCTGTTTCTTGAAACCAGTCACTAATCTTTCTCGTATGCTACAAACCAATATCATGGACCGTTTCCTGGCTCTGTGTTTCAGCTTATTTAAATCTAATAATGAAGACTGGAATGTGATTTTTATATTATTTAGGTTTATGAAATGGAAAGAAATGTATGGGAGGTTTAGCTGACTAAATACAAAATGCTCAAAGATTTTTAAGTTAAAAACTTACTGGACACTTTGCTGACACGTAATTTGCAGAAATATAAAATAAATTGAATGTCCCAATACTTTTGGTCACTTTAGTGACTTCTTTTGCTGTGTGTTGCTTTGATGCTTCAGTCAGGCCTGTTTTTCACTGCCAGAGAAATTTCAGTGTTTTCTATTCCGGCTGTATCTCTAAATGTGAAAAAGTTTAAATTTGATTCAAGGTCAGCTTAGAAACAACACTGGAGTTCACTGATGTTACCATGGATGTCAAGCGCTCTGTCAAACAACGTTCCTGTGGAAACGTTTCTCCAGCTGAAATACTTTGTAAGACAAACCACAAATCCTTTCTCAATAAGTTCTATTGTTTTCAAAAATATTCATTCAACATGTTTTGCAGAGAAGAGATTTTTTAAAATGGGTAACTCTGAGCTTACTTACCTTGAGGTGGTGCAGATAAACAAGATGAGTCAAGTACAGCTCTCAGTGTGACTGAATCCAGAATAAATAAAGTGGTTGTTTTTGATTTCAGGCTACGAGCCACCCCCTACACCTCCACCACCTCCTTCTACACCAATAGCACCTATTATCGTGGGTGTGGGATTTCTTCTTGTTGTTGTGATCTTAATTTTGGTATTTGTACGATTCTATCTCAAGAGAGCCAGGAAGTCCAACGTTTCACGTGAGTATCTTTATTACATGACTTAAACACATGGCTTGTTTCACTTTTAATGAATTACTTTAAAAAGTGTAAAAAACCTGCCTGAACATGAGAACATGATCCAGAAAAAGGTGTTCGAGAGTTTTTTTTGCCACAAGAGGGCAGTCTCCAACATACTGACTGAATTCTGAATTCAAATAGTGCCATCACTACTGCTGACAAAACAAGGAACGCATCATCTCATTCAAACATTGCTCACTTTAAAAACTTAGGGAAACATTGTGAAAACTACCCAAACTTGTGCTTGTGTCTTGTATTTCCTGCTCGCATACTCAGGACTGGACTGTTACAAAAAATCAGCCCTTAGTTTTTCTTTTTAATCTCCTTGCTAAAGTTGTTTTTGGGTTAGTTCTTAGTTGAACTGCACTACAGTATGTGACAATTAATAGCTAAACTTTATCTGTTGACAGTGGCTCATGGACAAAGTGGCCATTCATTTTACTTTTGTTGGGACTGCTGTCCCTCCCCCTGCACTTCTCCACGGCAGCCTCCTGTTACTGTGAGGGTTTGTTACTACAGCAGTTGTTGCTGGAACAGCAGCAGCCCCGATAACAAGTGGCCTAATATGATATATTTTGCTGCATTTATTTTACGTTTCTTTTCCTTTTCTCAGCTTTTCAGCTCCACCTTTTTGCCACTTCGTCCATACTAAATTCTGTTCTGCAAGTTGTGTGAGCACACATGGAAAGTAGGGGAGGGGCTAGTTTAAAGATTTGAAAACAACAACCTGAAAGGAAAATGTAACCCTGTTTTTTCATAACAAAAAGTAATCTTATCTGAACAATAACACTGTTGCTTACATTCAAAAATGTATCAAAAATGAATAAATTGCCTGCTGACAGTGCTTTTATGGCTGATTCCAGATTAGCGCACCAGTCTTTTTCTGTACCCTGGTACATTGGTACATCACTGGTACATTAACACAGTGCACTGTTGTTATGTACTCTATGAGTAAATGTGTAACACTGTAACCTTTCAGCAAGAATGCTGCAAGACAAAGAAATGGAGTTTGAAAGTGGGGAATATGAAGATGTCACGAACAAAGAAAATGAGATGGAAGACTTAAGTCATGGCAGTGAGTCATTCATTTATTAATTTGTTTATTGATTGATTGATTATTTTTTTCATTCATTCATTCATGTTTTCTAAATACTTTATTGCTTCTGATCACAGTGCCCTTTAAATACTGTACACCATGTTTGTTTGTTGTAGGTCTTGCTACTTCTTATATTTCTATGTCCATGGTTATATTTTAAACAAATATTTCTTATCACTGCATATCAATATTCCATTTTTTCTGCTTTTGCAAGTTATTTCTGCTTAATCATACTGTGTCAAGAACAAAACCTTACCTCAGTTAAATCTGGATTTTACCCCGTCTGATGTCGTCTCTTTGTGCAGCCCTACTGCTCCCCCCTGCTGACTACTTGAAAGCGCACAATTTCAATTTCACCGTGGACTTGAACAGAGATATAAAACATATATGAAATGAAAAATTATCTTTCAAACTGACTTTCATGGCAGAGATCATTGGTAATAACAGTTAAGCCTCTGGATACAAAGAGCAGCAGTTTTTAGTGAAAGTCTATGGCTGTCAATCTTAAATTACATGGTAGGCCACTTACAGGAACCAGTAAAATCCCACTTTCTACCAGCCTAAAGAAATGTAACTACACATTTAAAATAATAATAAGGGCAATTTAAATAGTATTTCTTAGTTTTCTGCATGATAAAAAAAGAAATGCTGCCGTAGTAAATGTCCAATTTGAATTGCAATCATCAAATGTGTAATATTACAGAAAAATAGAAAGTTTCTATTAATTCACAGGAAATACCCTGATGGGTTTTTTTTTTTCAATTTAGACCGACTGCAAAAAATGAAATAGTAAATCATAAAGACAGGAACTTCTCTATGATTTAATAGTTTATCTTTTGCAGTACTTAATTCATTTTGTGCAGTATAAACATCCTTGGGGACCTATTTTTCAGCATGAGAAGCTGCAAAAATTAATTAATTAAATAATTGTTTTTATAAAACAATTTGCCTGTCTTAGATTTATCTCAGATTGTTTCCAAGTGGGAGTTCTTTTTCAAAAGCCAACATGATGTAAGTGTTCTCTTGCTATTTTTCATTCAGGAGCCAGATCAGAGGATGTTGAAGCAGATGAGGCTCGACCCCTGACCTTTCCAGGCACTACTGTCATCAACATCAACACGCATGAAGGTGTCCATAATGAAAGCACTGGGGTTCTAAACTAGTTCGATCACAGTGTTTTCACATTTCAATAACAGTAAATGGCAATTTGGAAAATCAGTGAGTCTAATCTCTGTTTAACACATGTCATCTGTTTTTCTTTGTGACAGACGGGGTGACCTACGAAGTGGAAGATCCACAGGAGAATTATGATGACATCGATACAATCCCTGGAACCACACAGACTACAGCAGAGGTCCATGAAAGCCTTGAAACATTACATGACTTAAACTCAGCTGCCCCAGGATTGGTGGAGAGAGATGAGGACTACCTAGAGCCAGATGTGGATGGGTGAGCCGAATGTGGCTTTAGAAACTACTTTTAAAAATCAGTCTCAAAAAGTGGCTCATGTCCAAATTCACCTTCATTTCTCTCAAATAAATATCAAATGAAAAGCAATATTAAAATCTTTAAATTCAACATACATTTACTGAAATGGGTGAAGGAAACTTCCATTTGATGGAGGAACAGTGCAAAACGACTGAAAATCTATCTTTTGATACTGTATAGCAAAAAAACTTAAAATGTACAATGTTTTATAATGCCAGCCGCTTCTTCCTGCTTCTAGTCTATAGGCTTACCTAACTGTCTTGTTACTTTTATATTCAGCATAGAAATGTGTGTAATATCAATATTCTCATCAAACTCTGAGTATAAAAATACAAGTGTATTTCTCACAATATTAAGCTATTGTTCTAAATATAGTATATTCTTTAAAGCATAAATATAAAGAATTCAATATCTTGTGGTTGTCGTCTTTTTGTGATATTGTTTCATTTTTATGCAATGTGTCATTAAATGGTCCAACATGAAATACCAATGCAGTTGGTATTTCTTAACTGGTCTGTTAACAGCTTATCTTAACGATGCTCAACTTGACAAAAAAACAAAACAAAAAAACCCAACACCCAATTATTATTATTATTATTATTATTATTTTTGATTATTTCCCCCATGACTACAGCTTTTTTGTGGCTAATTTTCACATTGCTGACAACTGTTCACAATGCCCATTTTTCTATAACTCACCCAATTTGTGTATTGTTTGTATTGAGACTTAATTACGGCATGATTAAGGTTGTGATTGATGTGAATGACATGTTTCATCCTGTTTAGCTTCTCTGGGTAGGTACATTTTGTTTTGAAACTAGTCAACATTGCTAACAGAACTAACTAGCTAGCATGACTGTTAGCTACTAACTCATTATTTTGTTCTTACCATGAGTCACTGGAGTGATGAATAACACTGCTTTACTCACAGAGCTTTAAATTATTGACATTTTTAGGTTTAATAATTAAAGAATATCTAGTGAAGCCTCGGAGACTCTGGGATTTTGGAAATGGCTTAGATGTTGAGTATCAAACTGTATGTTATGTATGCTATATATAGTTTGATACACAGCACAATAAGCCGTTTTATCAATAGGACAACGCTTTTAGAGTCTCTGAAGTTCTGAAACTTGTTACGTTCCATTCTTACAGGTTGTTGACTCTTTCACCAGTGTTTGGGTTGAAAATATTTTGAATACAGTTACATCATCATGCACTTTAATGTTCTCTATTGCAATTTATAATTTTCCCCAGTGGTTAAACTTGGAGCAACTGCTTGCTGCAAATGTTACCTTGGGTAAGCTCATCATTGAGGTGCAGCTTTTAGAACATTGACAGATTTACTAAGGCCTCAGATGTTTGGTCAGAGCAAAGGGCCAGTGAGAAGAGAGCCAAAGGGACTAATTGTAAAGAGCATTCTGTCACAAGCAGCACTGATGTCAGAGGCCTTGCTGAGGAGCCATGATGTAGGATTAAATCTGCTGTGTAGCTGAAGTTGAAATAGATTCAGCATAGTTGTCTGCAAAGGTCGCAAATCCATTCTGGACTTAAATATTTGTGCAAAGCAAACTTAACCTTGTGTTATACAAATGCAATAAAATGTTATTAGTACATCCATCCATCCATCCATCGTCATCCGCTTTGTCCGGGGTCGGGTCGCGGGGGCAGCAGCCTAAGCAAAGAGGCCCAGACCTCCCTCTCCCCAGCCACCTCCTCCAGCTTGTCCGGGGGAATACCAAGGCGTTCCCAGGCCAGCCGAGAGATGTAACATCCCCCACTCCGGGTCGGGGATGTTATTAGTACATGATAATACAAACTTTTATAGAGTTTGTATGTAAGCTTTCATTTTAATCAATGTATTCAGTTTGAATTAGTTATATATAAACACGAGCAGAGAAAAGGAAGGAGAATTTTTAAAGATACCTTCATTTTCTTTTCCCTACATCGCTCAGGGTGACTTTGCCTCTGTGGATTCCCATTCATTTCCTATGGCGGAACACCACAGATGTAACAAAGTTGATTAAAACACTCAAAATTCAATGAAAGAGGTGCTCATCGCTTTTAGATGAAAGGGGAGGGGGGGTCGAAAACACATATCTTGTGTTTTCGATCTTGTGTGTTGCTCAGTAGCATTCAATATTTATTATTTACGGTTATTTATGCTTATCTTGGTTATTGCTGTGGTTTCCCTACTGTGTTGTTCTGTTCTTGCTTGTTTTCTTTTTTCCCAGCAGGTGATCTAGCAGATTTTTTGTGTCTTTTCTCACTGTCCCTCTCCCCTCTGTTTTTCTTTCCCTCTCCTTTTCTTCAGCTTCTATTGTCTGTCTTTCCCTTTTCTATCCCCTGGTCATGTCTGTTCCGTTTGTAATAACTTAAAAGATAAAAATAAACAAACAAACAAACAAACAAACAAACCAAATAATAAAGATCAATCAAGTGGGCCAGTCTGGCAAAGCCATAATGATAAAGTGTTTGTGAGTTTGTGATAAAGTCATACAATCTATTGTAAAATATTTTTTCCAGTATCTTAGACAACTGCGGTGGTAAAGAGATGGGCCAACAGTTTGTGAGAAGACGTTTATCTTCAGGTTTATATATTGGAAATAACCTTTGCAATTTTCATCTTTTTAGAGAATAAACCATTCTGTAGTGACTGATTACAAATGTAGGTACATTTGTAATCACAGTGGCCACCAGTGTTGGGAAGGTTACTTTTAAAATGTATTCCATTACAGAATACAGAATACATGCCCCAAAATGTATTCTGTAACGTATTCCGTTACGTTACTCAATGACAGTAACGTATTCTGAATACTTTGGATTACTTAATATATTGTGGCGAGTTCAGACAAGGAGGAGACGGAGGTATCGTTTGGTCTTGCTTCCCGTGAGCTAGCCAGGGAGCACAGCCGTTTATTACATTTGCAGAAGAACACACTGCCACTAGCTAACTGCTCAGCGCGGCAACCACAACACACATAGGGCGCCCTCTGACCCCGGAAGGACACACCGTCGCAGCGAGAGGGCGTCACCCGTCACCATGGCAACATACACAAAACATAACTGTACAAGCAGAATCCCGAACAGCCCTGACCCGCTGCAATATTATCATGCTTTTTACAACAACGTGAATGTACTATTGCTGTGTGATTTATTACTATTACTGAAGGTCCGCGACTCCGAACTGTAGTAAAGGGACCTCTGACTAATGCTGGGCTCACACTGTGCGATTTTTGGCCCATTTTGAGCCGATTTTTGAGTCGTGCGATCGTTTTGGCGATCGGCCCAAATTTTGGCCTTCATCGTGCGTCGTGCATCGTGTAGTATACGTGGGGTAACGAGAAGCGATTGACACCTCACGACCAGCTCCCGATCATCAATCGCTTGGTCGTGAGGGTGTCACCGCAGTTTGCCACACTGCGCACGCGCAAACACAAATGTCAGCGAAAAAGACGGCGTAGCACGGCAGTGCAGCGTGTAATCTGGACACAAGCGATGGAGGCACAACCTGTAGAACCATCCGAGCCCTTTCGATGTGGCCTCACAAAATTATCACGACCACAACAACCGTGAAAATAGTTGGATCGACACTGCTGCTCAATCACAGCTGCCTGACCAATGTTTTTCATTAGCAATTTAGCAAAGTTGATGGTGGTGGTGTGTCTGTGTGAGTGAAAGACGGAGAGGGAGAGCGAGCGACAGAATTTCTGTTATAACCTTCATTTTTATGGACGCACAGTGTGAGCACTCAGGTCGCATCAGAGCATCGGGCCGTATAGTGTGAGACCCTGCATCGTGACCTATGAACTTCTAACCCCTGCGAGTCAATCGTACAGTTTGAGCAGGAGCTGAATCGCGCGACTGAAAAAATCGCACAGTGTAAGCCCAGCATAATACGGCGGGGTCCCTGTCGGCTGGTAGCCGAAAAATAGCTCTGCTTTGTTGTGTGGGTCAACTTTTCTTGCGACAGACAGAGAGAGGCGTTGAAAGGCTGCTCCAACGGAACTTGTTGTTTTCGGAGGAAAACACGAACACAGTGTACAGTCGAGTCTTAATAGCTTACTTACAACTGGGCTGTCAGGCACTCTTCTTGGCTGCAGTGGTTATTATTATATTTACATGCTTCCAGCTCCCGTTTTTGCTCGATGACTGCTCGTACCTTTCCACTCCCCTTTTTTTCCCTCCTAGCGCTCACAGACACATAACGTGTATGGCAGTCCATTCTCCCAGCAGCACGGACTACACTGAACATGATGCTACATTCTTTAGAGCTATGCTTGTAGCATTCTGCTTGTTAGCTTAGCACAACAACAACAGCAACGAAAAGGCGCTCTCTCACCCAGGAAACACACAGTCGCAGAGAGAGAGAGCGTCGCCCTGTAACCATGGCAACCGTAACGCTGCCGCCTGGAACAAAAGAACGTAGCTGTCAAACAAAACCCAAACAGTCCTGACCCGCGACAAAATGAAACAGGAAAGTACCGCAGTGTAATCCATTTATTTCAACAAAGTAACTGTATTCTGAATACCACCTTTTTAAACGGTAACTGTAACGGAATACAGTTACTCATATTTTGTATTCTAAATACGTAACGGCGGTACATGTATTCCGTTACTCCCCAACACTGGTGGCCACCCTACCCATTAGCTCACAGCAACAAGGTCCCAGTTTTGAATCATCTGGCCTGCTGGGGCCTTCTTATGTGGGGTTTGTGGTAGCTAATATTGTTTCTTTTTGTGCGGCAGTGTCTAATCTATTTGTTTTAGTTCCTGTTGAATATATTATGTTTTATGTTCTTTTTATAAATTTCCCGAATGTCCTTTCTATCCCTGCTGCTTAACTTATGAATGGAGGGCACTTGTACCACCAGTAATAAAAGTCAGTAAGACCTGTGGTGGACTAGTAGTCAGTTACTCAGGAGGAACAATAAAAAACCTGTTTCCTAAAGTGCTAAAACTATGAATCCTTTCCCAGTCACTCATAATGGTTTTCAAAATATTCATTCACGTGTTTACCAAGGTGTGTATTCTGTAAACCTGAACTTGCTTACTTTGATTGATGTGATATAGATAAACAAAATAAATCAAGTCACAGACTCACAGTCACTGTGAGTGAATGTAGAAAAATTAAATAGGACTATGTTTGATTTCAGGCTATGTGATGACATTTCCACTACAACCAGTGCCCCTTTTCTATATTCATATCACCTGTTATTGTAGGTGTGAGACTTCTTATAGAGACACCGTTTTTGTATATATAAAATTCTGAGTGTTCAAACACCCAAGAAGTCTAAAGTTTCACGTGAGTATATTGATTGCATCAGTTAGAATTAACTGACTAATAGCTTGTTTCAGTTTTAATGAATTGCCATGAAGTGTAAAAACCCTTACTGAGCAAAAAGTTTAT